GTTATTTTTTTTTTATGTGAAATATAAAAAATTGTGCAGGTAATATAAAGATAATAAATATGTGTGATATATTAATTTTTTAAAAAAAATATATGAAAAGTTTCACTAAAAGAACACACCTTGGCAGTGGCGAAGCTACTTTTATATTTTAGTATTTGTATAATTTTTAAAGTTTAAACTGACTACTCCTATAAATTTAATCAAACTATTATTATTTATATTAAATTCAAACACTTCAAAAAATTTGGTTCAAATACTTCAAATATTTAGAAATATCCGAAGAAAAAAAATCAGATAAAACAAACTAAAAAAACTTATTTGTAATTCTTTTTAAATTTTTGTTATATTATATTATTTTAAAATTATTTTTATGTATAAAAAAAAATTCGGCCCCTATCAAAAAAAATTCTGGCTCCGCCACTGCACCCTGGGTTCTTTGTCCTTTCTTATACATTTGCTCTACATATTATATATTCTAACATCATCCAAATTAATGCACAAATTTTTGGCGGGAAAAAAATTTCAGCCGAACCAAATAACATGCAAACTAGGCTCGAGAGTTTGAACTCATAATTTCTTAATCAAGACTTAATTTTTCTATCACGTGTACATTTCCATAATTATGTTATTTTTCAAAAATTTCTACCCCACATCACCAAATCATTTTTTACGGACAGGTCATCATCTAACATTTTGAAACAATAAAAGTATATGTGGTTGTTTTAACAATTCGTATATAGGCATTTTTATTTTAGTGAGTCAACAAATCATATGAAAATTAGTTTTTGCCAATTTCATACAATTGGTGTTTTATTTATGATATAAGTGTACTCATTTCCATTTTAGTCATTACTTTGGATCTTATCTAGAAATAGTCACTAATGTCATTTTGTTGAAGATATTTTCACTTCTTTGGGGACAGAAATTTGCTTGTGACGCTGGCATATGTTGACTTAATTAGACATGTTGATATGAGACCAAAATATAAACAAAGATATTCTATAGAATTTAATATGTTTATATATTTAATTTATACCATTACTATCATATTTATATAGTAACCACAGGACAACTGTGTTTTTCTGAAGTGTAAATTTCTTGTCAATTTTTAAGTTCTTTGTCATTAAATTTGGAGGACTTGGCCTCTTGCATGGTTTTCGATAACCATTTTCCAACAGATTGAAAGCGATTAAAATTGTATAGTAAAGAAAAAAAAATTGAAAAAAAAAAAAAAGCGAGGGAGCTAAGATGTTACTCCCTCCGTCCCATGTACTATGTCCACGTTGCCGTTTCTGTTCGTCCCACATACTATGTCACTTTTCTTTTTTGGAAAATGATTACACATTTTAATCTCATTTTAAACTTTTTAATTTTTTTTAAAAAAATTTTAATTAAACTAATTAGTTATCTTAATCTTAATTTATAATTATTTATATTATAGGATAATTATTTTCACTAATACATTCTTAATTATCTACTAATTACACTCCTCATAAAATACCGTGTCTACAGTGTAGTAGACACGGTATGTGAGACGGATGTAGTATTTAATATGGTTTTTCTTCAAAAGCAATATTCTGACTTGCTTTTAAATATCTTCATATATGGTTAGCATAGCCTTAGGAAATATAAGTTATATTAAATTGGAGTTTTTACCTATATATGGCCTCTCGAAAGCTAATCGTCGTAGACCTTAAAAATGAAATACAACAATGCATTAATTAAGATGACAACAAAGTCACACCATTATTAAAGAAGCTACAAATATATTTATATATACGGGTGAGTAATGGGATATATATATATAGAGAGCGATCCTGCTGATAGGGACGTTGATTTGACTCAATCAGCATATATATATATAAGACAGACTTAGCATATTATTTCATGTAATACCGTAACATTTTGTGTCATATAAAAGCATGTTGAAATTATTATATATTATACTATGATGTATAAATATATTTACTATGTTGGAGACTCAATTTATCAATTTTTTTTTTCACACTGAAAATAAAAAATCATAATAAAAACATAGTATTAATTATCTATTTAAAATAGTATCTACGTCCAGCTCTAAGGGTCTCATTTACTGAGTTGATATTTGAATATTAATTATTATATCAAAATGTAGTACAAATTAAAAAAAAAATTATAAAAATACTTTCATTAGTGTCTTATAATACTAATAGAATAATATTTGTACAAAAGAATTATACAAATATAATGATATTTTTAATGTTAAGTAAAATGACGCAAAAGGTAAATATAACGTTTGAAGACGGAAAGATAAATTATTATATAAATACATATATTTTATTTAAGATATATAGTGTGTTTGTTAGTAAGATTGTTTGAAGAAATATATTTTTATATGCGATATAGAAAATTGTATAAATAATATAAAGATAATAAGTGTGTAATATATTAAAAAAAATATGTTTATGACAAATTGTGGAAGAACAAACAATCTTTTATCATAATGAAATTTTAAGGATGAGATGGGAACAACAAATGCCTCACCCCAATTTTATCAGATTCTGAATGAATGAATTAAACATGTATTAGTCATTTAATGGATCCATGGGATCGAACCCACGGGCGGACCTACACGGGGCAGCTGACCTCAGCTCCTCAAAATATATGTATTTTTTAGTTAAAAAATAACAAAATTATGTTTTAGTAATTTGTTCCTCCTAATTTTTTATTTTATAATATAAAAAATTATAAAAAATTTTGCTCCTTTGTTAATTTACACTTTTAGCCTTTAAATTTTATTTTTTATAGTAAAAAATATTAAATTTTATTGTAGTTTTGTTGAAAATTTTTTTTAAACATAAAAGTTTTCCAATTTTTTTTTGTCCGGGTGTGCTATGAATAAAAAAAAATAATAACATTGAATTGATAAAATAAAATTAAAAAAAAATTGATATTTTAACCCGGGATTATTACTATTGGTTCCGTCACTAATCGAACACCCAATGTCTAGCATAACAAGGAATGATTCAACCGCTTAAACTAGAAACTCTTGACAAGATAATTGATATAGTTAAAAATCAATCATTCGGACATTCAGCTTGACTTGGGTCATTAATAAATGGATTTAAAAAAGTAGATAATATGATCAAATTAAAATATTTAAGAAGAATCTTTAAAATAGTACAAATTAAAATATTTTATATTAATATTTTGTGATAGTAAAAAGTATATATCATTAATAAATAGCATAAAAATTTTCAAAAAAGATTTATATCAACGGAGTCTTTCGGGAAATACTCTTTTCAATACCGGCATGCTTGGAAAAAATTTTAAAGTGTGGTTTAAATTTGAAATTGATGTTTTCATTTAAGATTTAAATAGTGTTTTAATTTAATGTTTTATAAGAAAAAACTAGTATATTTTTTTATTTGAAATTGATATTTTTATTTAAAATTTGATTTAAATAGTATATTTTTCTTGACTTTACCAATAAGTCTTACTCAAATTGACTTCCCTTGTTAGAGCACAAATAGTGCCCACCTTAATTAAATATCTCTACACTTCTCCTCCGACAACATAGAGGGTTTGAACCCATTATTTCACGGTCATAAGTTCATTGATCACATCACCGTATCATTCCTTATGAAACAATTCTGAATATTTTATTAATGTAGTAAAATATGGTTAACGGATAGATGATGTGTTTTCTTCAATACTCCACTAGCAAAGAGTACAGTAGTCTACAAGTTGGCATCTTCAATTTCTCCTTCTTCCGGTAACACTTACAGCGAATGTAAGAAGTATAATACTTTTTAGAACATGAAGAATAAGTTGGACAAAGTTGAAAGCAAGAAATGGATTTTCTGTCACTAGAATAATTTTTCATCCACACCCACTCGTCAACTTTGTATCTCAAACTGATTAAGCAGCCTCAAAGCTGACTTTGTACATCGAGACAATTAATTTTCTTTGCATCAAAATGACATAAGGTGTTTTCAGGGTAATTCAGACAACGTTCTAATTAATTACCCCAACCATAGATCTTGTCTCTTTTGAGCACATATACGATGGGACAAAGTATACACTAGAGTCGGTTTGCAAAACTTTCTCTCCTCTTGCACCAACGAGGATAGACTGTATAGAGTTGTTGTTTTTGTGCAAGTCCGAAAACACATCAACAAAGTGGGAAAAAGAATAAATGTTAAAATGAAAAATAAGAGACATTTTTATTTTATAATAATATAACAATGAAAACCCGCTATAAAAACGGTTATATATTCCCCCAATCCGCCTCTAAAGGTCATATTTACATTTTGTATCGTTGTATTTAATATTAAAAATATCATTATGTTTGTACAATTATTTGTACAAATATCTTTTTATTAATATTATAAGACACTAATAGAAGTATTTTTGCAATTTTTTCTTAGTTTATACTACGTTTTGATATAATAATTAATATTCAAATATCAACACGTAAAAGTAAATTGGACCCTTAGAGCCGAACGGAACTAGTATTATCTAAGGCAAATAAATAATATTTTTCTTCATTCGTCAAATGTATTCTCACTTTTTTTAGTTTGTCTTTTAAATTTACTCGATTATTAATTTTGGCAAAATAAAAAATCAATATTGAATTATTATACTCCATTCAAACATTAATCTACAACAAATGACCATTTTTTTATTACATTATTTCTTCACTTTCTTTTAATTATTAATTAAATTTTTAAAAATATCCCAAAAATCTTATTATCTTTATCAAGTTTTTAATAGAATTTTCATTTTTTTTAATCGGGTTTAACAATACGATTGTCATACATCATATAAAAAATTACTTCAAATTAAAACGCTAAACAAAATTACCTTTCTATACCAAAAAATACACTCGTTAATAATAATAACGAGTTAGGTACATTTAAGCTCAAATTTCGAACAAAAAAGAGAAAATTGAAAAAAAAAAAAAATCCTATGATATTGCAACTATGGTTTTCTCCGAAGATTAGTGAACTACTATTCTATCATCGCTTTTGAAAATTAAATGCCTTAATGGATAGAGCAAACGAGATGGCGAAAGCAAGTCCAAATAAGAGAACTATAAACATTACAACACCAAGAAACTCGTGTCTGAACCCAAAGTTACTTCTCACAAAATCTGCAACTGTTTGTTCAGCGCTTTCGAGCCCGAGCTCGAGCTCGAATTTATCTTGCAGATCGCCGAATTGGGACGCGGCCAAACCGTATAAGGTCCACGATACGGGACACACATAATGGAACCATCTCCACCATACCGGTGTTTTCTACACCAAAGTTTCGATTCATAATAATTTTCCAAAGAAAAAAAAAAAAAAAAACGAGTACTTAGGGTGTGTTTGTTTTGTGAAATTGATATTTTTATGTGAGGTATAAAAAACTATGTAGACAATACAAAAATAATAAATATATGTAATGTATTAATTTTTTTTTTAAACATGTGTATGAGAAAAAAAAACAAAAAGAACACACCCTTAATCAAAACTCGAATAGAAAAAAAAACGACTTACCGGCCTTGGAATGACGAAGCCGGAGAAAAGGTTCCATATCGAGTATAATGCACTTGATATGATACTTGCAACTTGTTGGTTCGGCGTGACAGCCACATCAAACATGCCGTAGAAAGCAAAGTATAACATCGTGAAGAATATGAAGTAAATGTACCACAAGAACTTCTTCGCCGTCCATTCGAACCCAATCATAGCGTAAACAAGGGTACCGTATATGATAGTTTGCATAAAAATGTACGGTATCTCAACCACTGCCTACACAATAATGAGATGTGACTAAAAATTGGAGCTCGAGATTATAAGTATACCATTTAAGTTTGAGGGGAGGATGTCAGAAATATTTTCTATATTTTATTATGATTACTTATATAAGTGACTTTTATTTGGTTATCTTTATTAGATTAGAGAATTATTATTTGAATCTATTCAGTTTGTACTATACTACTCTATTCGTCCGCCTCTAAGGGTTACATTTATCTTTTACGTCATTATATTTAATATTAAAAACATCTTCATATTTTTATAATTTTTTGTACATATGTCCTTTTATTAGTATTATAAGACACTAGTTGAAGAATTTTTGCAATTTTTTCTTTATTTGTACTACGTTTTGATATAATAATTAATATGCAAAAATCAACACGCAAAAAGTAAATGAGACCCTTAGAGTCGGACGAAAGTAGTATTATTTATATGCCTCTGATTTCATACCTGCCCGAAAGCAAAAGGCAAGGCGGAGTACATTCCGGCCGCCTTTTCTCTATAAAAGATCGCTCGCTCCACGGCGACCAAAGGTTGCACGGCCGATCCACCTTGCATTCCGAGAAGAAAAACGGATATGTACATCGATCCCATGGCGTTGAAAATATCTTTTTGCGTGTTCCTACACGGATACGGTTTTTGTTAGGACGAGATTGTTTCACGGTCAGGTACAAGATCTTGAAGGATTTTTTCACGCGCAAATTACCTTTTCGAGCCGAGATCCCAAAACATCGAACCGACTACGAAGGATAGCAAAAATGTATAGACGATTTTTATCGCGCTATAAAGAGGATTGTGCCAATAGGACCAATGTTGCTTCCATAGGCAAGCCTTGCATTGAGTGAGGAAAGGTTGCGCGTATCGCGTCGGGAAGTGAAGATCGCTCGATCCCGGCCGAGGTCGACTCAACTCGCGAATCAAAGCTTTGTTTCTCCTATAGTATCGAAGCATTGTTAGGAAGTACACAAACTATTATGTTGTTTTTTCAAGTGTAGTTTGAGCTCACTTGTAAAGTTCCGAGTTTTTATAAATCTCCGCAAAATCGATCCCCGTGATAGTTTCTTGCGCCGAGGATGTTGCCTCGAGCATCCACGTAGCCGGATTATATGCATCTTGGATCTTCGGCACTCCCTCGACCCCCTAATCACAAAATTTTGATCAAGATCACGACGAGAAAAAATTTTAAGGGATCACAACTCATTTAACGCCTAAACTTGCCTCGAGGTAGTTAATAAGATCACGAGAATGTCGCCCCAATGGCCCGACGTATATCTCTTGCCCCCCGCGCTTCATCAACAATAGCTGCACATTTAAGAACGATGTTACGATCAAGTTAACTATTCATCCACTACAAAAATTTCACGTTAATTTCATCCCTAGTTATGTCTCTAATGTCATTAGTAACGAAAAAATTGATTTAAGGACAAAAAAACTTTGTTACAAAAATATTATTTTATTGTAGTGATCAATGAAGAAAAATGTAGCTAATATTGTCGATCTTATCTTGCCTCGTCGAAAGATTCAAATATGTCGATGCTCGGTTGGTGAATGGTACAAACTACGGTCCTTCCCGTGTCCACGGTGTTTCTAACCGTTCTCATCACAATGGCTGCAGCTCTAGCATCGAGCCCTGAAGTCGGCTCGTCCATAAAGATTATCGACGGATTCGCTACCAACTCGACCGCGATAGTAAGCCTCTTTCGTTGCTCGGCTGACAAACCACTAACTCCCGGAAACCCGACTATTCCTCGCCTCAACGGCGTTAGTTCGACGAGCTCCATCACCTTCTCCACAAACATCTGTAATAATGTCGTCATTACTCGACGTTTATCCTTAGAAAGTTATAACATTCGACGAACATTGTAAGAAATGAACCTTTCGAATTTGAGCATCGACATCTTGTGGCAAGCGCAACCACGCTGAGAAGACGAGCGATTCGTGCACTGTTAAATACGGCGAATGAATGTCGTTCTGCTCGCAGTAGCCAGATATTCGAGCGAAAGTTTCTTGCTTTTTCGGATATCCCGATATCATGATGTCCCCTTCGATATATCCACCTGTTTTTCGACCTGCAAGAACATCCATAAGCGTCGTTTTACCCGCGCCGCTAACTCCCATTAGCGCAGTCAAAACGCCCGGCCTAAACGCCCCGCTTATGCCCTTTAAAAGAACTAATCGATCCTCGGTTGCACCGCATTCTTTCATCGCCTACATTTAGTTCGAACGATAAACATATAAAAAATTCATCGAAACAATTTACGATAAGTAATAATAACTCGCTCTCGCTCACTTGAGGCATGTCGACTGAGTACTTAATCTCATCGAACGTGATCCAATGTTGTTGGAACGGAAGCACAATTCGTCGACTTCCATTCTCGTCGCTTTGCGCATCTAAAACATTGCTTGCATTCTCGTCGCTCGGTGAATTATCCGTCATCAATATCGACTGAGGCTTTCCCAAAGCTAAAAAAAGATCTAACATGTTACTCGACAAAACCAACACATTTTCAAAACTCGGAAGTTAACCGTTTAAGTACTCACGGTTGAGATATGTTAGCGCGAGTACAAAACACAAGTTGTACAGAAGCAACAAACCGATCAACGCCCCGAAACCGATCCAATACCAATACGCGCTCGAGAAGTAGCTTTTCGACTTCAAAATCATGACGCCCAACGACATATTCGCCTCCGGGACAAACTTTACATACGCAAAGTTACGCGCATATATTAGCTCAACTTATTTCAAATCATCAAGGATTTGTAACTAAAGATCAATAGAAATCGAACACACCCGCCCCCATTTGTGCCCGGTGAACTCGGTCACGACGAGTGCATTTTGCGCATACATCAACGGGGAAGTCCAGTACGACCATAACCACCACTTCTTTACGCGATCTAGTCGAAATACAAAGAAGTTAAACAAGCTTCAATCACGAGCATACGAATATGTAAAGCATATGTAGTATAAGAGTACCTCTTGCTAGAACATAACCGCTCATTCCCAAGAACAAGAGCAACACGAAAAAGCCGTAAGTGTTTGCCAGAACCATGTTCCGACCAACTACCGCAATTACTCGAAACGTCGAGGACATGGTCTGGTTCAAGACAAACAACACCAAGAACTGCTTGAACAATCTGCAAGATCGATGAATTCTAATAACATTAGCCAAATCACGGTAAAGATTCGAGCAAAATTTGTACTAAGAAACCTACCTCCCAACGTTTGGATCGTATCCTACTACGTAGTAAGAAATCACCACATAGACCGCGGCCTCAATAGCTTGCGCCGGAACCTTAACTAGCCACAAGGGAAGACCATAAGCCCATGGCGGATAAAAGAAAAAGTCGCGCTGCTTGTAGAAGACGGGAAGCTTTTGCATAGTCATGGCTATGTCCGCGATACCACCAAACGCGATCGTGCCCACCGAGTAATAAAGAGCTCCGATAATTACATACGCATCTCTTACGTTGCGATGAAACCTCGTCCGCAAGAACAGAGTCATCGCGACGAATCCCATGAAAGCAAGCTATAAGGAAAAAGCATGTAAGATTACTACAAAGTAGCGATGTATTCGAGCATGTGTCCGAATGTGAACTAACCCGACAAATCCTGAAAATATATACGAAGGAGTTACGCTTCATCAGCAAAATTTCTCTTGCGAAACAAGCTTTTAGAAGCTCGATTTTGCCTACGCCGTACTTCCCCGTTGCCAAAGCAGCCGGATGGCTTCGACTCTTGTCGAACGGGATCGACAATTCGGACATTAGCTTTTGTCCAATGTGGAAGGATTTAAACGACTCAGCGAATTCCCCGACTGCGATGAACCGGTAAGGCTTGTCCTGATCAGCCCAATATTGCTGCTGATCTTTCTTCGATATAATCTATGTTAAGAAAATAAAGTAATGTAAGAATTATAATCCAGAGCGCACACGAAGAAAGAGCAGGGTAATTATTGAAACTTATGAGAATTGTTGTCTACTTCTTGCAAGAAGTCGGCGATGCCTTTTCTATCGGGACATTTGAACCCCATGGATTCGAAGAACTCGAGCACATTCTCGCGAGGGCCTTGATAGACAACCTTCCCTTCGGATACCAAAACGATGTCGTCGAATAGGTTGTATGTCTCGGGCTCGGGCTGTAAGAGGGAAATGATGGCCGTGCCGTCGAGGATGTGGACGAATTGTCTGATGGAGTTGACAACTTGGAAGGTGGTGGAGCTGTCCAAACCGGTCGATATCTCGTCCATGAAGAAGGCCTTTGCCGGGCCGACCAGCATTTCTCCGGTCGTGACGCGTTTCCGCTGGCCGCCGGAGATTCCCCGGAGCATGTGGTCTCCGATCAGGGTGTCAGCACAACCTTCCAATCCTAAAATCTACAGACTAAGTATAGATTAGTAGAAAGAAAATTTGTTTGTCTTTTTATTAAAAAAAAAAAATTATATTGTATAAAATATCTATTTTTTATTTATTCTATTATATTCCCTCAGTACCATAACTAAGTATCTATTTACTTTTTCATGTTAATTTTTGGATATTAATTATTATATCAAAACGTATTACAAATTAAGAAAAAATTGGAAAAATATTTCTATTAGTGTCTTATAACGTTAAGTACAATGACGCAAAAGGTAAATAGATACCTTGTTATGGAGCGGAGAAAGTATTAAATTTTTATTTTGTATTCTTAATAATATATTAATATATTTTTATATTTAAAATAATTATTTTAATTCAAAGTTTTACTATTTGAAATGGTAATCCGGTCATTTTACTATTACAGCAATAAAATTAAAACATACCTTCATGATATAGTCTGTGACAACATTGGCATCTTGTCCGCCCATAGCTGCAATCTACATAAATTATATGAATATAGGATTTCTACTCACAAAATATCACATTTAAATCAAGTAGTCAAACAAGATCAAAACAAATCGAATCATATTACACTTTATTTATATATTTTTTCAAATTATTTTGGATATATTTATTTACTTTTAAATTTTATATATATATATCATATTAAATTTTTATTTTTTTTTCAAATATATCGAATCAAATATTCATATTTTATTATTTTTAAAAAAATTCAAAACTCCTAGCATTCTCTAATATATATTTAAACGGATTATTAATCTTTTCTGTTATTTAACAATATTACTAACAACCATTAGTCGGCGTTGATGATAGGATGTATATTACGGATGGATTTTTCTCTGTAGGTGACGGTATCTTTGAAATAAAATGGTTATTAAATATAATATTTTTGTATGAAAATTATATACATTTCTAGAGAGAATGAAATCTAAAAATTTGACTGTCTAGAAAAATGATCACTTTATATAGAATTAATTTTCTTTCTATTTTTAATGATTGAAAGAAAAAAATATAAATCTACAAATATTGATTTACTTGGAAGTGAGTCGAGTAGCATTCGAAATATTATGTATGAACAAAAAATAAAATAAAACAAAATCTTACTTTCATGTATACGTCGATATCAGGATCGGGCATTACATTCGCTGCCTTTTCCCTTCTCAAGAGCTCCTCAAGCATTACTACATGTAATTTTTATTTTGTTATATCTCTCTATCAATAACATAACAAAATTAAAGTCGAATTTATATATATATAGTTGCGAACTAACGTACGAAGGTTGTTCCCAACTCCTTGACATCTTGCTGAGAATTCCAATGTTTCTCTTACGGTCATTTCACTTATATGGACATCGTTTTGGCTTATATAAGCTGCACTTCTTCGGGACACAAACTCCTTCATATTATGCCCATTATAACTCACACTGCCAGAAAACTGAGGAATCGAACGAATATTTATTCCAAAAAAAAATAATAAAATAAAATTACACGATATATTGTCATATTTTGTTTAAAAAAATATATATATATTCTTCGACAGCCGAACCTTTAAATGAGGATCGAGCTTCCCAGCCAAAGCTAACAACAATGTTGTCTTCCCCGAACTCGGAGGACCTAAGAGAAGCGTCATTCTGCCGCCAAATATATACAAATACATGTATATAAATATTTCATCGATATATTATTTATAGATACATTTAAATTTTCTCATATTAATTAAAAAATAATAATATTTTACATACGGTAAATATGTTAAGTAGTGTATAAAGACTAAAGTACCGTTTAGTTGTACTAATAAAAAATTTATTTTGAAATATTTGTTTAAGTATTTTTTTATAAAATGATGAGAATTATTATTATTATTATTATTATTATTATTATTATTATTATTATTATTATTACGAGATTTATATATATTGTGAAACTAAACTTGCAATCATTGGCTTTATCTACTTTGATTTTTATTTTATTTTTTTTTTACTATGCGATAATATTACAAGTTAGATATGATTATGATCATTTTAATATATTGGGAATAAAATTAAAAAAGAAAATTATATACCTGCCAGGCTTCACAATTCCGCTGACGTCATCAAGGATAGAAATATGCTTCTTTCTACTTGGAATTATATGCAGATAGGTAGCAATTCCCTCGAAAAGTTAATTAAAAGAATAAAGATTTATCATATATTAAATTAATAACAACAATAATAATGTTGATTATATATAATATATATATATATAGAACCATATAAAAATTCAATCAATGTTGAACTAAGTTTAAATATATCAAATCATATTATGAATCTCTTTCAAACACTTTTATTAGTATATTATAACATAAAAAGTATTGAACAATTAAAAAATAATGTTAAATAAAATAAATAAAAAATCGAATGTCCGAAATATATTACACATACATTGATCAATAGTACTGAATACCTTATTGTCTATGCATAATGGTGTGCTTGTTTGAGAGTTTGGATTTTGGATTGAGATTTGAATAGTAAAAAATTTGAATTTTAATAGTTGTATGATGTGATATAAATATGAATTTATGTGAGATTTTGAACGTAAAATTGATTTTTAGTATAATATAAAAAAAATATAGGTATTTAATTTGATATTTTTTGGAGAAAAAAATTGTGTGAATAGTAGAAACCTACCAAAATCCTTCAAACAAACACACCCTAATAGTAAAGCAATTTTTTTTTTTTCAATTTACCATGTAATGGACATCCTCTTATAAACTAATGGAAGAGTTATATATACACATATTTATATATTATTGTGAATACAAAAATTAATTATGTAATAAAATTTCTGTGAAAAATTTATCTTAATTTAGGCGAAGAGTTACTACAAAAAAAATAATAATAATATATTTGTAACATAAATCAGAGACGGATAATATTAGTTATTTGAATTTTAGAGACATAATTTAATAAAATCTTTCTCTAATTACGTCTTTAATATCATTAGTAATGGAAAATATAAATTTAAAAACGAAAAAATTTTGTTACAAATTTGTTACTTATTTTGTAGTGAGTAGAGAAGATGATTGAGTTTTTCTTACCTCAAAGATGCCAATAAAGAAGTTCTTGAAACTTGGCAAGGCTCTTTTCCCAACATGAACTTCCGTGTCAACATTTAAATGTTCGAACCGAACTTCTATTTTCGGTAATTCTAATCCAACCCTGAAAAGAGTATTAACATATGTCCGAAGTTGTATGTATTACACTACAAAAAAATAATATATTTGTAACAGAATTATGTTCTTAAAGTTCACGTAGCTAACGTAATTTCATTCCTAATTCCGTCTCTAATGTTATTAGTAACGGAAAAAATAGATTTAGAGACAAAAATATTTTGTTACAAAAATAATTTTTTCTTGTAGTGTTAATACGATGGCTCAAATAGCTTTGGCTTTGTTGGCTTGCAAGTTTCCAACAATTTGTTTTCATTTTTTATATTATATTAAAAATTAATTTTACATTGAAAACATTACGGAACAAATAATTATATCATATTGAATAATTATTTCAATTTAAAATTTTATAAATCAGAATCCAAACTCCATGAACATACACATCATTGTAATTTTGATTTCAATTTAGAACACGGGTTTTTATGCTTTGAAAGGGAAAAAAAGAGATTTGAAATTACATATTTTTATATTGTATGTATAAGATAAAATTTAGAGTGAAATATATAAATAGAGTTACTTTATAAAATATCATACATAATATCTATGTTTATTAAAAACTTTATGTTAATTTTTTCTTTTAAAAGATTAATTTAAAACAATTGTCCTTTAAAAAAATAACAATAACAATTCCGTTTAATAATATTTTTTTCCTTCCACTAATTTTATATTTATGTGAGTTAGACACAAATTTTAATAAATATATATAATACGATATTAGATGATTGTAATACAGAGTAAAAGTTTTTTGGAAAATATATGTGTGAGTTAACGAGATGAGAAAAAAAAGTTTAGATAAATTAAGTATGTAAATGGTCATGATATTTTGTAAATAAATATAACGTTAAATAGTACTCCCTCCGTCCAGCTAAAAAGTATACATTTCATTAAATATCTTACTTTTTTCCACAAATACTTTTACTTTACATCACATCATTACTTTTACACCAAAAAGCAAGAGCAAAAATATCATTACACTACTTTTAACTACCCACTATAATTAAAATACTATTATTTCTTAAATACCGCGCCAAAAATAATTGTATACTTTATGAATGGACGGAGGGAGTATAAGTTAAGAAGTATGTAAAAAAAACGAAAAATATTTATATAAATAGAAAGTGCATATTTTAATGGACAAAGGAAAAAAAAATAATAATAATAATATTTAATAGACATGGAGAATATATATATATATACCTGTCGACTCGATCTTTGAGCCTTAGGAGAAATTTCTCGTTGTCCTCTACAACAACCTTAACCAGCCTTTCGAGCAACTGCTTTTTCTCCGAAAACCCGAGATCTTGTACATTGACCTCGTGGATGGCTCCTCCCGATCCGACCAAAAGGCCTTTTCTTAGTCGATCAAAAGTGGGGAGCTTTTCCAATGCTGCCCATTTTAGGGCTTCATCGTCGTCCTCTTCTTCATGGACTCGCGACGAACTTGAGAAAACCTCAAGAATGTCATTCCTAAAGCTGGCCGCGATGGATGCATTTCTTCCGAAGCTATTGTTGGCGCAGCGAACAACATTATTGCTCGCATCCATTTTGATCGAGTGCCAAAATTGATTAGGTAAAATAGCATTGCCAAAAGAAAGATACGATCATTTTTATAGTACCATTAAGCTCATTTAATGACTAGTGTCTATATTTTGAACTTATTTTGAATTTGTTTGAAAATGATAAATAATTCAATAAAAATAGCTAAATATTTGATGTAATATTTTGAATTAAAAAAAAATATATGTAAGTATGTGAGAACAGCATCAGCAAAAATATACTCTCTCCGTCCGTCCATCTCCAAGAATCACATTTACATTTTGCGTCATTGTATTTAACATTAAAAATATCTTTATATTTGTATAATTTTTTATACAAATATTCTTCTATTAGTATTATAAGACATTAATAGAAGTATTTTTACAATTTTTTCTTAATTTAAACTACAATTTAATATAATAATTAATATTCAAATATTAACACTTCAAAAGTAAATAAGATTCTTGGAGTCCGCCAACACACTATACTTATTTCTATATCCAAATATTCTTCATTAAAAAAATAAAAAAATAAATCAAATAAAAAAAATATCCTAAAACACAATTAAAATAGTGAAATTTCAATAAAAAAATTAAGTGCCTGAGTGTTGTAGCTCCCAAACTCCTATATCGAAGGTCATTTAATTAATAATTAAATTAACATAAATTGATTTGGCCAAAATCTTGAGTAATTAATTAAAGGAGTGGATAGGGCATACCCTATGCGTGGCAGGTGATCTAAGATGTTGGGATTTTAAACCTATGACCTTGTGGTCACAAGTTCAACTCCTACACCACCAGGCCATCTCTTATGGGACAACTAGAATTGGATTTTCTTCCAAGGTAACCTAAACACAATGTTAAACTATTAATTAGTTTTTAATTTAGTACTCATTGGATAGAATGATTATAACTTTTGAAAAATTGTTAGTTTGAACATAGAGTAAACATGTTGGATTATATTAAATATATATATAAATAATATTAAACTATACTAAATACTTGTTTAAAGTACACAGAATGTAAAACATGAAATGTAAATTAACAATACAATATATAAATTAATATAATATAAATACGACACATAAATTGTCAATAGTTAGCATAACACATAATATAGCTAATCTCATTATACAATATATTTTAATACAACATACATATAAACTAGAGCAGACGACACATGCTTGCAATACATACAATATGTGATTTCTGATGTATTTTTATGTGTTGAGTGAGTTAATGAGTATGATTTTGATTATTCTCATTCGGCATTTTGATCATTCCGTAAATATTTATTTGTTTAACATGATAAAACCACATTCGAAATTGATAAGGATATTTAACTTTTGTTACATAAAAAATTATTAAAGGTGTGTTTGTTTGGGAGTTTGGATTTTGAGTTGGGATTTGAATAGTAAAAAATTTGAATTTGAATAGTTGTATGATGTGATATAAATAGGTGTTGATGTGATGTTTTGAATATAAATTTGATTTTTAAGTATAATACAAAAAATAAAAAATAAGTGTTTGATTTGATGTTTTGAAGGGGGTGAATAGGATAAACAGTAAATTTAAAATCCAATCCCTCAAACAAATGAATTGAACAAAAATGAGCAATCACCAAATAGGATCAAAGGTTGGTTTGTTCAAGCATAAATAAAAGTCAATAAAAATATACAAAATATCGTTTCTTATAATAATTTTACGACTGACTCTCCGTACCTCACAATAAAAACACTTAAAACTATAGATAATAAAATAAATACACTTCTCTTAGGCTATGATTGCATATTGAGAAGGAAAACTCTAGAATAACAACTATCGATTAGCTAGAACTTATATGCCTATAATGTACAAAAGACGATCTAGCGTGTATCCACCATTTAAATCTTTTGTAATATTTGGATTCGGATTGAGATGTGGATTTGATCGTCTTGAATGGATCTTTGAGGATTTGACGAATAATTTTTCATCTTTATTTAGCATCTTTTTCATCTATATTTTGTTAATTTTATCTTGTTTTTATTGTATCCATGTAATAATATATGTTTAATTTTAGTACACATAAAAACTAAAATAAAAATGCATGTAGTTCACTTTATCTCTTGGACAACAAATCTTCATCAAGAGTGAATGTAGAATTATTTTGGATTCAAAACTCTTAAATCATTAAGTAAATATTAATAACACAATTCTCAATGAATATTAATAACAAAATTATAATACATATACATGAATCCATATAATATAAATAATAAATATAATATATTCTCTTACAAAATATAAACAATTTAATAAAATATCAAATTTTATATTATTAACACAATTGTTTATAGCTAACATAAAAAAGAATACATCAAATTAAAACACTAAATAAAAAAAATAAAAATAAATAAATAAATAAATTATACATAACTATTATTGAAATCATTTTTATTGTGAATTCATTTAATTATGTTATTTAGCCGTACGTATTAAGAGTGTGTTTCTTTGTTGGCTAGTTCTAGGGAGTTGTAGTTGAAAGTTGGATTTAATAAGATTTATTTAATTAATATATAATTGAAATAAATTTAAAAGATATATTTAAGTGTTTTATAATTTATCTTAAAAATTATTAATATGAATATTATTTTATATGTAGAGAATAAATTTTTGTATAATGAAAATAAATAAAATATATATTTACATATGATGAATATAAATTAAATTTTCAAAAAAAAAAATAATATTAATAATGTATATTAAAATATTTGTTTATTGAGTAAATAAATAAAAAATATAGGGTTTGTTTGTTTAATATTTTTTGACACTATTTTCAATATATATTATCTTTTCACAAAAATCAATATTTAATATTATTTTTATATTATTGATACGATTTTCTATATTTCATATCAAAGAAATTCTTCAAATCAAAACACTAGTGAATGTATTTAAAAACTAATAATAATTAAAAATAAAAACATAATACGAACATGAATTTCATGAAAACTAACCAAATAGACTCTCTATTAATTTTATTTTAATACCAAAAGCTGCTGTTGGTACAATAATATGGTTAGTAATATTATTACTACTACCACTAAATAATAGTAATAATAATAATAATGTTATATAATAAATAATATAATATATAAAATATATGTATACGGCTAGTGAATATAATGTATCTATATATATTTATGTATGTAAAGATATAAATTATTATTTATATGTTATGGAAAGTAGAGAGGGATGGTAAGATAGAAGTAACGAAGAGTAAGTGTATTTGATTTGATTCACATCAGGACCTATTTATAGGCAAAACAAATTACAATTACATGAATACAAATTAACTGCCTTATCTATCAATAAGGAAATGACAAGTATACAAATTAACTGCCTTATCTATCAATAAGGAAATGACAAGTATCACATGGAAATGGCATCCATCAATATAGTTACAATGTAATTACGTGTTTCTTTATTTATTCCATTAGATAAAAAAATTTCTAAAAAAAAGTTATGATTTTGTATTTATAACGTAATTATTTACTATTGATACATGTGGACTTAGTGTATTTATTTGCGAGAATCAGATTTGGTGTTTATTTTAGTGGTAGATTGAGTAATCGTGGTGGATATTGTGGCCGTGGATTTATTCGATACGGATGATATTCCAGTCATGTACCATTATTTAAAGGATTTTTGGGCTCTTTGATCGTTGCACAACTCATTGTTGTGGTTGCTCCCACTGAAACGGAACTCTCTCATGAACAACAAGAAGATGATGTTGGAATTGCAACAACTCAAACTATTGAGAATCTTGATTATATTGCTGGAATAATATTGGTGATGCAGAGGGGTTGCTTTTGCAATCATTTCTTAACATATTGAAAAGTTTGTTATTGAAAAGAGGATCGTAGAAACTGATGTTAAACTTCTATGAATTGATAATAGAGTTCAAGGTGATACTAAAGAACAAATCAACCTCGTTATTTATATTGATGGAAAGACCAACCAAACCAAATATAAAGGTACGGAAATTAATTTAATTGTTTCCAATGAAAACTTAAGTGTTGAGATAGATGAGCACGTGACCGAACTTACTGCTTGAATGACTGAATGGTTGTGAGGATATCAAAGTGATGGAATTGCGATAGATACTCCACCAATAATTGATGATGATGGATCAAAAAAAATCTCAAAGGCCATGTTAAATGAGCATGCATAATCCTCTTGAAGGTTTGTCATATGCTCCCACAAATGGAGAGTAATACAAGAAAAGGAAAATTATTTTTCTACGGGAAGTTGTTCAAGTTTTGTTGACTGCTGCTTTAATGATTGTTGATTTTTATTTATTGTTGTTGATTTTTTTGGACGTCCATAGTAATTACAACCAACGTATCATTTTGGGAAGACTTTATGTAGCCTTTTATATATATTGACATGTAATATGTGGACTCACTTTTGAATTGCTACTTTGATGATTGGGTGTGTGAGTGGCTCAATTTCTACAGGTTAATTTTCTGGTACCATATGTCAAAAAATAGGAGAATATCAATGAAAAATACTCCTTTTACTTTTGTTGGCGTATGAACAAATCTATTATCTCCTACAGTCATTGTGATCAATTTTTTTTACAGTATTTAAGTTGCAAACAGTCCGAAAGTCTGGTTATATGTTTAACTTTGTCTTATCCCTTCAAATCCATACAAAAGATGAATTGAATTTTTTAAGGAAGGTCAACATACATAGAGAAACGTTTCATTCCATATCAATACAAGGGAAAATTAATTGATCTGATTTTTTTAGTCAACAAGATGGTTGTTCAACGTTGTTTTTTATAATGAGCACATTTAAGAGACAAAATTTAGAGAGAGAAAATATTGTTTGTGCCCTTAGTCATATCTTTTTCCATCTCCATGTTTTAAACTCATGTTTAACACATAAATTCGCCGAAGAAGTTTCCGGATATTGGAGTTATCGGAGATCCAACCAGAGTTGTGGAGGTATTCCAAAGTTGGCCATTGTAGAGGAAATAGGTTGAAGAAGCTTGTGGTTGTTTTTGTTTTGTAATTAAGATTTATTATAGTTGAACTTTTTTTTAAATTGGGATCTCAAATATTGATTGATTTATAACCTAATTGGATTACCAAATACCTATCTCATTTATTGCCTCGGAGTTCAATATGTATTTCGTTAACAAAATGTTGTTATTATTATGAATTAACCATATTTCCGAGAATTTGCCCTTCTATTGATATTCGAAAGAAATTTGATCAAACCTCATTTTTCAACATACATTGTACAAAAATAATTTTTATATTCAAACTGTCATATATATTAATATTTATTTATGTTAAATTAATAACCTGTTACTTTTCAGTTTAATTTTATTATTCAAAATTTTTAATTTAAAGCACAAATCCCACAAACAAACAATCCATATTCTCTTAAGGGTGTGTTTGTTTGGGGGTTTGGATTTTGAGTTGGGATTTGAATAGTAAAAATTTTGAATTTGAATAGTTGTATGATGTGATATAAATAGGGGTTGATGTGATGTTTTGAATGTAAAATTGATTTTTAGTATAATATAAAAAAATAAAAAATGGGTGTTTGATTTGACGTTTTTGGGGAAAAATTTTTGGATAAATAATAAAATTTTATCAAAATCCTACAAACGAACACACCCTGTCATTTTTATTTTATTTTATTTTGTAGTTTTAATATAAAAGTGAAATAATTGATAAATCTATTTGCAAGGAACATATATGTTAAATGTAATATTTTAAGAAAAATTGAGCAATTAAATAAATGAGCATTGAATTTATTTGTGATATTATATGCATCTAGTTAGGCAAAATTTTTATAGGATAATTAACTCCAAATTTGAGCTTAGACTAGAGATTGTGAGCTTTATAGGATTCCTATCTCTATTGGATGATAATAATAATAATAATAAAAGTTTTATCTTCTTTGTATTTTTTTTATCTTTAATAGTATTTTCTTTTTTTTCAATTCAATATATTCTTTTATTTTTTTTATCTTATTTAAAAACTTTCATTGTTATAAAAGTATCATTTTTTTTGTTCTTGCAAGAGCAAAACTGTCAATAATATTTTATATATTTTTATTAATTAATAAAATATTATTATTTTTTAATTTACTCTAAAATAATAAATAAATTTGATATTTAAGTCAAGGCGTATTCAAAATTCTACGAAAAAATATACTCCCTCCATCCCACATGCTATGTCCACATTATCGTGTCTGTCCGTCCCACGTACCATGTCATTTTCATTTTTTGAAAAATAATTACACATTTTAATGTCATTTTAAACTTTTAATTTTATTTTTTTTAAATTTTAATTAAACTAATTAGTGAATGACTTCTGCTGCATCTCTACGTCTAGGTCAACTCTTTACTGCAATGCTTACTTTCATTATTTATTATTTTAAAAAAAAAAAATTAAAATATAATTTAATATTTATTATAATTATAGGGGAAAAAATATATGTAATATATATATATTATTTTGTAGAGAATAAAATTTTTTATAATACAAATAAATAAAAATTTAAATATATATGTTAAATATAATATAAATTCATAATTAAATCATATAATATAAATTTTATCAATTAAATTTAATACATATTTATATTATTTTATTCATTATCTATCAGATCAATACATATCAAAACTCTCCAAACTCTAACCAAACTCAAACACAAAATAAACAACAAAATTCAAACTCATTCCAAAATTCAAATAAAAACCAAATCCAAACCAAAATTTCCCCAAACCTCCCTAAATTGAAAATAATAAAATATGTGATTTTTAGTTAAAATATATATATGTTTGATATAATATTATGTAATATTAAATAGTACAGAAGTCTCTAGAATTAAAACACAGAACAAATACACAATAAGTCTTATTTTACAATTGGGCTTAAAAATGGGGCCCAATAAATGAAATTTAAAAGCCCAAAATGCTAAAAGACCTGAAAAGTAATAGTAATAATTATTCAGCCCAACTACGGTGGCCGTGAATCTTGATTGGTTTTCTTCTGTAATCTGAAATTCGTTTGCGAATTGGGATTGATAGACTTTCCGATCTCAGGAGGAGGAAGAAGATTGAGAGACAGTGAGTGAGAAAAATCACGATGGTGGCTTCGTCGAGCTCCTGGTCGCATGCTTTGGTGCAGATTTCTCCTTACACCTACTCCGCCATTGGAATCGCTATTTCAATCGGCGTTTCTGTCCTCGGCGCTGCTTGGTATATCTCCGCGATCGCATCTTTTGGTGATCTTTTTTTTTTTTTATTTTGCTGCGATATGTTTTTCTTAATTTCTTTTGTCATGATGTGCAGGGGGATTTATATAACAGGAAGTAGTTTAATAGGTGCTGCTATCAAGGCTCCTCGCATAACTTCCAAAAACCTAATCAGGTACGTTGAAATATGAGTTCATTTGTTATTGTTATGCTCTATTTGTCTACGGAGATGTGGTTCATTAAATCAATTTCTATTTATCCATTTGTGTGTTGCTTTAGATTGTTTAGGGATTGTTTTCTGAAATCTGATGGTGATTGGGAAATTCTGGTTTTGGTTATATATTGAGGTTAAATTGAAATAAGCAGATATGCCAGGTTCACCAAAACTTATTGATGCTTCCAAGAGAACGTCTATGCATTAGTGGTGCAAATTTTCAAACTTTAAATATATAAGCTTTTAGATTATTTCTAAGATTGAAAAAATGAGATCTAAGAACAAGGCTTAAAGAATTGTTCTACTGAAAAATGAAGTCTAGGAAAATATATGAAGGGAAGAATTGGATAATATTTGAATTCACTAATAAGACTCGGCTTAATATACTTTTACGAAGAATAAATTGGATTATTTATTTAGGTGGACTTTAACCAAGGATTCCCAAAATGGTGCTAATAAATGGGATGTCTTATGGAGATTTATTTAGGAAAGCAATTGAGGGGTTGAAGACTAAGGATGCAAAAGACTAGAAAACATCTTGTGAAATAGAGCAACGATGAGTGAAGGGTGTTTGTTGTGTGTAGTAAGTAATTTTCTAGATTGATTTTTCGTGTGTAGATGTAAGTCTCCGTAAATGTAGGACGAAGTGCCAAATTGTATAATTGTTTCTTGTTTTGGTGTTTTATTTTTATTCCATTTTACTCATAGTGTGTGTTACCTCATAGTAGACTATGCAAATCACATCATTTTAAACTTATTCTCTGTAAATGAATATTGTGCGTAGTATGTAACATGCGAGAGTTGGTCATTTTATGTAGTGTATAACTTAAATTTTAAGTTTGGATTTAATGGAATTGGCCAAAATATTTCCGTACTTGTAGAACAGAGTGCTGAGCAAGGTGAACAATTCTTGTTTTGTTGTTTTATTTTCACTTTTACCTAAACAAATAACAAACTGCCTAAGATTTTTCAGTACCAAATGATATGTCGAGACTCTATAGAAAAGCATGGAAATGAACCTTAATTCTTCATTATAATACTCCATTCAGCTCCCATCGTGAGTAGCTCACCTACTCATCTTTGCAGATGTATCCACTTGGGGTCAGTTATGCAACTATATCTATTTTCATGTCTGTGTAAGGAATGATGGATGTATTAATGCTACTCTCAATAATGTCTTCTCTAGCCTTTCTTTTATTGTTTTTTATATTTGCTTATGCAAAATCTTTGATTTCCCTAAGCATAGTTTATTAACGCAATAAATGTCTGATATGTGGACGACAAACTTCATCTTTCAAACTGTCATGTCAAGCAAAGCTTTTATATGTTGAAAATTTCTTACCCTAAAGTTGATGGTTACCATTAAACCATGCTTTGAATGAAGATTAGTCTGCATAATTATATTCCAAATTCTAGTTATTTTCCAATATTGATGAAGCATATTCTTTTAGGCAATGTAATTGAAGGCTTAAGATCTCTCCTGTTTCCCATGTTCAATGTCCATTTGAATTTAGAACTTGTGGTAGAAAAATGACAAGCTTATGCATTAAATCACCTGATTATTGTCCATGAAGCATTGATATGCAACAAAACTTTGGCTATTGCTACTTTATCATTAGACATGAGCATATTAAAGAAATTTCTGTTTGTGCGCGGATTACTGGATGTAAATATGTAATGTCTACCTAATTGATAATGCCAATGGTCATTGACGTGCCCATGAAAGTAATCGGTTCTATATGTACTTGTGGAGCCAATTTACTTGATGCTCGAACTCGAGAGCTAGAGATGCATTCCCTCATAATTCTTCACAATCTGTTGCACGAATTACGGCAACATTTTCTAACTTCCATTTTACTCTCAGTGTGATTTTCTGCGAGGCTGTCGCCATATATGGAGTTATCGTAGCTATCATTCTTCAGACAAAGCTTGAGAGTGTGCCTTCTTCAAGGATGTACGATGCCGAGTCCCTTAGAGCAGGCTATGCTATATTTGCATCTGGAATAATCGTGGGATTCGCAAACCTCGTCTGCGGGTGAGTCTTAACATTACAGAGTTTAATCAATCACCCTCGAATTCCAATCCACATAATTATATATACACTGATTCTCCCCCGCCCCCAAAAGGCTATGCGTAGGAATAATAGGAAGCAGCTGTGCATTGTCGGATGCACAAAACTCAACCCTTTTTGTGAAGATCCTCGTCATCGAGATATTTGGCAGTGCACTCGGACTGTTTGGTGTCATTGTGGGCATTATCATGTCCGCTCAAGCAACTTGGCCTACCAAGGTGTGAATCCTAACTCCATCCGAACCTTTTCATCGTATAATTTCATTTCATTTTCATTTTGCGGGCTGTTAATACCTATATATATTATTGTGTTTTCATTTTATTCTTTTTGTCGTTAGTATGGGGCATTTTATGCTATGGTATGGTTCTTGTGATATTTATGTAAACCTGTAAGTGGTAAAAACTTGATGGGTAGAACAAACGAGGGAACTGAAACTCCCATATCATCATCTCATGTACGTATCAAAAACACAAATTGCTGCCCACTATTATTAATAAGCCTTTTCCCACTTGAATCTATATGCTTCTTTTTCCATAGATTGATTTATAATATCCTAATTCATGTTAAGTTTTTGGGTTTTATCTTTTTAGATGTTATCTTTCTTTTCTTTTTTTGTATGTACTACGTCCGGCCACCGAATAAAAGCCTATTTCGATTGAATATGTGTTTTAAGTAATATAGTACTATATTGGTTGATACTTGATTATAACATAAAGTAGGGGTTTTTTTGAGTTTAGGGCATATGAGTGAGTTAATGAAGTAAGGAGAAGTTTTCGATAGATTAAGTGTGTAAATAGTTGTGGTGTTTTTTATAAATAAGAGTAATATTGAAAGGGTATAAATTAAGGATTGTGTAAGGGCTATTTGTTATAAATAAAAAAATGCATTTTTATGTGGACAAACAAAAAGAAAAATAGGCATAAATTTGGTGGACGGAGAGAGTATTATTTTTTAATTAATTTTTGTTTGTCATACGATTGGGTTTTATACAAACATTTTATTTCATATTGTGGTAATCGTATTGTGTTTGGTTTGTGTTTAAATAATGGTCGGATATGATGTTATGTAAGAGGAAAATATTCAACAGAGAATTGTGAAGATTGTTGAGCCAAGGAAAAGAAATGCCTTAACAGAATTCAGAGTGTGTAGTAAATGTTTTGTTTTGTAGTTTTGGTGACAATAAAATGTTGGAATAGAAAATGTGTAAAATGTGATATAATTAAGTATTTTTTGTGATGTTTTAAATTAATATTTTTGATATAAAATTTGAAATTATAAATTAGTAGTATAAGATATAATAATGAATAGTAAAAAAATAAAATTAAAAATATTTTGTTTAATTTTGATTTGAAATTGAGTTCTGATTTAAATCGTATTTTAATGTGATATTTTGTAAATGTAAATATAAATAATATATTCTTATTGGGCACATGTGAATTGAATAATACTCCCTCTGGTCGATTCTAAGGATTTTATTTATCTTTTGTACGATTGTACTTAACATTAAAAATATCTTTATATTTGTATAATTTTTTTTTTGCACAAATATCATTATATTTGTATTATAATACAATAATAAAAGTATTTTTGTGATTTTTTCTTAATTTGTATGACGTTTTTATATAATAATTAATATTCAAAAAATAATATAAAAAAAGTAAATGAGACACTAGAGCCAGACGAATGTAGTATTAAGTTGTGTTTGAAATAATATTAATATATATATATATATATATGTTAGAACTTATTCTTACTTTATTTAGCAAAGTATCATTGCACACTTCACTCAATTCTATTAAATTCAATAGTATTTTATATTTTTTTTTTTCATTTTATACAAACCAACAAGAGTATTATTTTTTCATAAAATATAATATTAAAAAATTATTAGAAAAAAAAAAAGGGAAAACTGGAAGCCATCCATGATCCATGTATGTAAAAAATAATAATAATAAAAAATAAAATAAAAAAAAAAATTCTAAGAAAATTAAGGATTCCATGCACATGTTTCGGTTACTTGGGAAAATGCTTTATTCGCGAAACAACAAAAATTCAAACTTAGACTCTTCCTTATTATCTCTTCCCATTTTAATCCGTTTTGGAGCTTATTTCGACTCACTTGGGCCCACACAATCCAAAATTCCATTCTAACAACTCTTTCCTAACTTAGCTTATTTTTCAAACATTAATTGTACTTATTCGCACCCATCAGGCTTCACCACGACTTCACTTGTACTTACCCAAGTCTGCTTTCATTCATTCAATTGACAATACATAAGTCCAATTCATATATATATATATATATATAAATATATATGTCCGATCAATTCACATCACAAATTGGTGGATCATATCCAAACATCACTTTAAATTTGTGTGGTGTTCTTTGGCCCATACTTTTCAGCCCTCTTATCGACCCACTCCCTCATATCCGACAAAACCCGATCGGAACAATCGTCGGGTTCGCCCTGTATGAGGGAGTGGGCATAGCCTTCGTAGAGCTTGAGCGACTTGTCGTCGCTCTTGGCCTTCTCGTAGAGCATTTGGGATCCCGTCGGGGATGTCACCCCGTCGGCCGTTCCGTGGACCGTCAAGAACGGCACCGTCACCTTCTCCATGTTGCTCTGAATGATCTCGGTTTGCCTTATGAGCTCGCGCATTGTCCCCACACGTGGCTTCCCCGTGTAGCGCCGGGGATTGCTCGCGATCAGCTTCAGCTTCTCCGGGTCCCTTATCGCCTTTCCCACCATTTTGTTGTCCGGCAATGTCGCCCATGTGTCGGCGAGCCCGAATAGCAGTCCGTACGCAAATAGGTGTAGCTGTGTAGTTGAATCGAAAACACAAGTATTATAAGATAATTATAAGTCAACATATGATATCTTGTAACACAAATTGTGTTATATAAAAATATATGTTGAAATAAGATCAAGTCTAACATATGGCTAATTTGATTGGATCATAACATAATCCGTGGCCTAAATTTGGATGTACTAAGTAGTAACAAGTATCCCTTTTAAAGAAACATGTTTTTACTCTTGAAAAACATAGTATTAAAAAATTAATTTAATATAAATTTTTAGTTCAAAATCAACCTGACCTGTTGACCAATTATATCAACTTTATTATTATCTTTTTGAAAAAAAAGTATTTTTTGGACTTATTCAATATTATAATTATCAACTTTGGTCTCATTCAAAATAATTTATCAATTTTGGTCTCACTCAAATAAAAATTTATCAATTTTAGTCCCAAATTGTAGATTGGGACTGAACATGGCCATGTTGGATGACTCAGAAGGTAACTGGGCGTCCCAAACAGCCAACACGGCCGTGTTGATTACCCAGCCATGTTCTCAACATTCATGTCCATGTTCTCATCACGGACCTACAATAATTATATTGAAAACATGGTCGTGAATGAACATGGCCGTGTTGAGAACAGCCGTGTTTAGTTCCATTCAACTATCTTGGAACTAAAATTGATAAATTTTTATTTAAATAAGACCAAAATGGGATCAAAAATAATTTTTGCACTATTTTTTTTTTTTTAATCTCTTACACACTTTGTGTATAATTTAAAATTTTTTTTTAATATTAATTATTCTTCTCTTTCTAGCATATCCAAAAGTAAATTCTACTCTACCTTTTAAAAATATTACATAAGTATTTTTATTTTTTATTTAAAGTATCATATTATCTCACTATTATATTGCATCAAATTATATTTTAACTCCAAATTTGATTGTTTATAAATACCACTGTGTGTTCTGTTTGGTTATAATTTCACCAAATTATACCGATAAAACACTAAAAAAAATACTTCCTCCCTCCCAGATATGTCGATGTTACCGTTTCTGTCCGTCCCACGCACCATGTTACTTTCCTTTTATAGAAAATAATTATACATTTTAATCTCATTTTAAATTGTTAAATTTTTTTTTTTATTTTAATTAAAATAATTAGTTATTTTAATCTTAATTTATAATTATTTATATTATGATAATTTTATCTTTAATTTCGTCTCTAATGTCATTACTAAAAAAAAAAAATGGAGTTGTGGACAAAATTACTTCATTACAAAAATAATATTCAGATAATACTAATCAAAAGTACAAATAAGGTTCTGTTTGTTTTGTGAAAATGATTTTAAAAGATTTTTTTTTTTTTTATGTGAAAGGCAGAGAGAATTGTATAAAAAAATATAAAAATAATAAATAAATTATGATGTGTTTTTTCATAATTCATCATGTGATATTCAACATCATAGCCTATTTGTTTGTTGATTTCCAACTAGATCTTTAGTATTCATTAACTTTTTTATAATTAGAATTTTATTTTTTATATTATACTAAAAAAATAATTTTATATATTTATTTGTATAACATCAAACATATTTTGCATGCTGATAATACATCGAATATACAAAATTGTATCTCAACATAAATGAAACATATCCCTTAAAATATATATATATATATATATTATAGATCCAAAATATTCTAATCACTACTTAAATTAAAACAATGAAAAATTCAAAAGAGAAACATGTGTATTGAGTTTGTAATTTTGTATAAATAAATAAAAAATCAAATCTAAATAATAATTTGGTACGGTACAAATCAATATCAATATCATATTATAAATTTGATTTAATTATTCCAAAAAATAATTATAAACGGCGAAAACGTGATCTAAAACCTATAAACCAACACACCCAAACCACCGACCTAACCTGAGACAGCAAGACACAATTTATTATTCTATAAAATATAGCATCATTATTTTTTTTATTAAAAGTTTTAATTAAATATTCAACAAACAGGAGGCAGAGTTCAGTGAAGAAGCATCCAATTTTGGGGGTATCGAAGGTTCTAGATCTAACCACAAAAAACTCATCAAAAAAATTGGCAGAAGCGAACACTTTTCAGCAACAATTCGATTCATCAGAAGAAGAAGATTTGATTTACCTTCGGAGGCATCATTGCGTCGGGAATGACGAACAGTGGCGCCGAGAAAATCAATCCAGTCCACAGATCCTTCTCCGACTGAAAATACATCATTATCGTTGCCAATCCGCCCAACGATTCGCCGAACATGAACGCCGGTAAATCCTTATACTCATCGCTAAGCCTCACGCTCCTGAAGAAGCAGAGAGAAGCGGCGGCGACCTTGTTCATATCGCCGAGGTAGGCTCGAATCCCCTCGGATCGGCCGTGGCCGAGCAGATCGGCGGCGAACACAGCGTATCCCCAATTGGCGTATCTGATGCAGATTTTCTGGAAGGACCAACCGGTATCGGATCCGTAGCCATGGCTCATGTAGACAGAGCCTTTGATGCGTAGGTTAGGATCAACAGGAAGGAAGGATTGGGTGAATAGCTTTCCGTGAGGAGTATCGAAGTAGGATTTGGTGTTCCGAACGCCTTGAGAGGCGTAGAACTCCTCCTCCGGCTGGTCTCCCCAGTAGTTGGCAGGCGGCGGTGCGGCGGCGACTTTCTCCGGCGACATATTTGAAGCGTGTGTAGGGCGGTTTGTGGAGAGGGGTTTTTATACAGTGGTTTTTTCACCAACCGATGGTTAAGATTGGGAAGGGAGTAGGTAGACCAACTTTGTGTGGGCCCTATATATATATATGCAATTATTTTATTTAATATTTATTTCTTTATTTATTTATTGGTTAATAATAATAATAATAATAATAATAATAATAATAATAATAAAAGGGATAGTGATGATGATATTAGTGTAGTGCTTTGGAAGATTTGACGAATTTTATTGCGCATGGATTAGGTGCCGCAGCACTTTTTAGATGTGTTGTCTGATATAAATACATATTTAATATTAATTTCGTCTGATTTTAAAGTTTTATTTATTTTTTATATTTATTTTTAAATATTAAATATTATTTTATATTATTTTATAATACTAATAAAAGAATATTTGTAAAAAAATTATGTAAATATAAAAATATTTTTAATATTAAATACAATTACACAGATATCTTTTTTATTTCATATTTTTTTGTATATTTTTTTATTTTATATTTGGTGAGATGGAAAAAATATATATTTTAATTATTTATTAATTATATTATTTTTAAAATTTTGTTTGTTAAAATATACAAAATATAACATATAAGATGGAGAGAATATATGTTATATTTTTAAAAAATATATATATATTCTATGAAAAATTATTGTCTTTTTTAGTAATTCGGTCTCACATTTAAAAATATATATTTTCTACGTTCTATTGAAAGGTTATTATTTTTTTATTTTCGTTCGTTCAAAAATAAGATTATCATTTCCTAATTTAGTAACTATACTACATACTTCACATAATAAATACTTTTTCAACTTACAATATATTACACAAATATTATTACTTTTATATTATATCATACTAATAAGAATATTTTTGTCTTTTTTACAATCTAATATAATACTAATATTCAAAAATATACGTGTAAAAAGCAAACGCCACCCTTCCAATGGGAGGGAGGGAGTATTATTATTACTCCCTTTGTTTCATAAGTAAATATACATTTGCTTTTTTACGTAGTTTTAGAAATATTAATATTATATTATGATATAGTAGAAATAAAATAGAAAGAATTAAAATAACTTTATTAGTCTGTGTGATATAAAGGTAATGACATTTGTGTAATATATTATAAGTTGTAAGGATATTTGTAATATTAGGTAGATAGTACAGTTATTAAAAAAGAAAATTGATACTTTGTTATGGAACGGAGGAAATATATTTTATACATTATTACAATAATATTATTGATTTACATATAAGATATTATTAATATTTTAGAAATATAATTGTTTATTAGAAAATAAACAAAAGATATACATGGTATACCATGTAAAGGGTATTTTTTTTAATATATATTTTTTCGTCTATCAAATTTATATATATGTATATATATTTGTAAATATTAAGAGTGTGTTTGTTTCGTAAAAATAAAAAAATAGATGTATTTGGCTTTTTAGATGCCGTATTTGTTTTTGTTAATAGATTAATGAAAATTAGTAATGTCTCCATTCACCTCAATGCAATATAGTTTATTTTTTATACGTTGAATTTGAATAATTGTATGATGTGATATAAATAGATGTTGATGTAATGTTTTGAATATAAAATTGATTTTTAGTATAATATAAAAAAATAAAAAATATGTGTTTAATTTAATATTTTTTGGAAAAAAAAAATAGGATGCATAGTATATTTAAAATCCAATCTCTCAAACAAACACACCCTCGAGTTAAACATATTAAAACAGCAAAATGGATACATTAAAAATGGACAGAATATGTATTATATATATTTTTTTTTTATGACGTGAGAACCCGCAGTCGCTATCCGAAAATGTGCTGTGGATAAACCCCGGATCGAATCTAATACCCTGCAAACCAACCAGACCCGACAGAAAAATCATACTAGGCAAACCATGTGTAACAGTTTCACAGGTGACGTGAGCCGTCAGGAATTTGTGTAAAATAAATATTTAAAATATTCTCAAGACTTAGTGGAGTAAACAGTCAAATGTATGATGATATTTTAATATAAAAAAATAATTAAACGGTGACCACTCAAAACTATTTAGGTAGAACAATTCTAAATAGTAGATAAGAGATTAGATAATAATAATAATATTATTATTATTATTATTATATGTTAAATCAATTTTGTTGGTGAGCGGTTACAAAATCAAAATTTATGGATGAAGCACAGTACAGTCGTGTTGAGTCAAAGAAACACGTAACGTAAAATATATATTATGAGAAATTTTCTATGACAGAGATACATAGCGTGTTGAATTTAAACAATAAATTATTAACAAAAAGCACCTAAATAATATATAAATAAATAAATAAATAAATGGATAATATATTTATATATATATATATATATGGTTATTGGTGTGGTGCATTGCCTAACGAGTGCAACTTTGCATACAGATATATATAGTACAACCGCCCTTACCTACCACTGCCACTACCAACAAATACACACCAATTCCATTACAAAGTAAAGAGAACCCTCTCTCATGTCCATATTGTCATTTTTATCTATTCCGTATATTATGTCACTTTTTTTTTTTTGTTGAAAATAATTAAGCATCTTAATTTTATTTTAAATTTTTTAATTTAAAATTTTTTAATTTTAATTAAACTAATTAATCATCTTAATATTAATCTTAATCTACAATGATTTATAGTATATGTTAATTATTTTCACTAATATATTTTTAATTACCTACTAATTATATTTATCTTAAATTCTCGGGTCTACAGTAACGAAAACACCCAATATGGGACTGAAAGGAGTATCATTTTGGTCTGGCTCCATTCATCATTATTTTTTATTTTAAAAACTATAAAATTAAATATTTATTTGTATTGTATATTTTTTTAAAAAATAAAATAAAATTTGTATATATAATATTAATTTTTATTGAATCAAATAATTTGTTAATTCAAATCTTTATTATTTTCAAACGCTATCATTTAAATTCAACTTTTGAAGAAAGAGTTTTGTTTAGAAATGGGTTTTGTTGGGTTTCTTATATTACATTAAAAATATTTTATTTTTTTTAATTCAAAATATCAAATTAATATTTTTTATATTATTTGAAATAATTATTTAAATTTAAATTTTTACTATATGTTCGAGAGTTGAATTTGAGATTGAAAATAATAAAAATTAAATTAAATTATTTATTTAATATGATATATATATATAATTAAGTATAGACGTTAGATTTTGAATAAAATCTTATTTTTTAATATAATAATAAAAATAAGTACTTATTTAATTTGATATCTTTATGAAAGAAATTAAAAATTAGTGAATAACCGAAAGTCTATACAAAAATCGACAACCAAACATAGCCTTAGAGTTTGTTTGGTCGCCAAGTTAGTTTGTAGTTGGAAATTCAATTTTGTTGGAATGATATGTTGTATTGTTGATTGAGGTATAATGTTATATATATATTTGATTAAAAATAAATTTAGAATGTATTTAAGTTTGATTTAGTTGGTTAGAATAAGATGTTTGATTGTTAATTGAAGTATGATATTACAGTTACGAGTCTATCCTCATACCACTGAATCATTCTTTAGAAATAAGATGTTCTTTGATTGTTGAAGTTTTAGTATTATATACTATCTCCGTCTCTTAACAATCTATCCATTTTTTTATTTTAGTTTGTTCCATAACAAAGTATCAATTTTCTTTTTTTTTTTAAGTAATTGTACTATATACCTAACATTACAAATACTCCTCTAATTTACAATATATTACACAAATGTTATTATCTTTATATCATACAATACTAATATGGTTAATTTAGTTTTTTTACCTTTATTTCTAGTTTATCCTAATATAATATTAATATTTCTAAAACTCCGTGCAAGAAACAAATTGATATATAGATATGAGACGGAGGGAGTATTTAACTAAAAATCAATTAAAAATGTATATTGAGTGTTTTAAAAAATATATTTCAATGAATATTTTTTTAATATAAATATTAGATTGTAAAGAATGAAATAATATATACATAATTAACATGGATTATTTTCATAAAAAAATATAAAATTTTAAATTTATATATATATATATATTTAAGAGAGAGAGTGTTTGGTTTGCTTTAATTTCAATCGAAATCATGTACAACATGCTAAGAAGTGACCAACCGCTTGAACTAGAAATCCTCGACATATTTGTCTTAACTTGATTCATTTTAAATAGGTAAAAGCTCATTTTATTGTATTAAAATAGATAATATAAATAAAAATGTTGTGTTTGTTTTCTTTATTTTTTACAGGTGTTTACTAACTATAGAATTTTTCTTCTAGAAAATATCAAATTAAATTGCATATATAAATAATAAAATAATTCACATATTTTTTACATGCAAAAATACACAATTTTTTTTGTTGTGTTTTGGAGCTCCAAGTTGGAGCATGGAAGAGTACTACTCCTTTTGTCCCATAAAATATGTACATATTATTATTATAGATACAAAAATTTAGAAAAAATATCATTAACAAGTAATTAAAATTCGTGTATTATTAAAAATAATTATAAATGAAGATTAAGATGACTAAATAATTTAATTAAGATTAAAAAAATTTAAAATTAGAAAATTTAAAATGTGAATAAAATGTATAATTATTTTTTAAAAAAATAACAAATTATATGGGACAGACAAAAATAAAAAAAAAATAGCATTTTATGTGAATATTCAATTATGTATTTAATTATGTATTTATGGATATAAAATATGAGAATAATGACTTTTTATTTAATTAGTTACCTATATAATATTATAGGAAAACTTTTTTATTTAATTAGTTACCTATATGATATTTTAGGAAAAATTATACTTGTGAAAAAAAAAAAAAAAAAAAATTATATGTTAAGGATTATATTTAAGGGAAGTGTTTTATTTATTTAGTTACCTACCTAATATTCTAAGAGGAATGTTACGAAATTTGAGAAAATCAATAAAAATATAAAAATG